AGACCCAGGCCCTCATCATCCTCAACGATGATTCATATCTCCCACAAAGATGGCAGGGAATGCTGTTCTACTGGGCGATCTTGATATATGGAATGGTTATGAATATCTGGGGTCACAGACTTCTCCCCACCGCCAATCTTTTGTCCGGTAAGCAATTAGATACTCTTGGCTTCGAAAACAAAGACCACCACTAACAACTCCAGGTGTCCTTCACGTCGTCGGTTTCCTCTCCATCTTGATCGTGCTAGGCGTCATGGCACCCAAGAACTCAGCCTCGTTCGTCTTCACTGAATTCGTCAACTCCAGTGGTTGGGAGAGTGATGGCGTCTCATGGCTCGTCGGACTCATCAGCGCCGTCTATCCCTTCCTCGGGTACGCTCACCACCTCCTCATACCGCTCTACAAGCGCTAACACATCTACACAGTTACGACGCCGCCTGCCACTTGGCCGAGGAAATGCCCAACGCCAGCCGCAACGTCCCAATCGCCATGGTCGGCAGCGTCGTCGTCAACGGCATCATGGGCCTCGTCTACGGCACCGTCCTCCTCTTCTGCACCGGTCCCCTCGAAGCCCTCCTCTCGACTCCGACTGGGTTCCCCTTTATGCAAATCTTCATGGACGTGACAAAGTCCTACGGCGGCGCGACCTTCATGTCCCTCATGATCATCCTCACCGCCATTGCCGCCACCGTCGCCGGCATCACGTCCACCTCGCGAACGCTGTGGGCTTTCGCCCGAGACAAGGCCACGCCGTACGATCATTACCTCAGCAAGGTCAACAAGCGCCAGCAGATCCCCGTCCACTCCGTCGTTCTCGTCACGGTTCTCCAGATGTTGCTTGGATTCATCTACCTCGGCAACACAACCGCGTTCAACGCTATTCTGTCCATGGCTATCATCGGGATGTACCTTAGCTACATCATCCCCATCGTGTACATGCTGGTGCACGGCAGGAAGAACTTGAGCCGTTCCGACTTCGGCCCCTTCAAGCTTGGTCCCGTCTTGGGCCCCATCTTGAATGTAATCAGTTTGATCTGGATGACTGTGGTGATCATCTTCAGCACCTTCCCCTCGGCGATGCCCGTTACCCCGCAGAACATGAACTATTCGATTGTTGTAATGGCTGGGTGGCTGGCCTTTGGCGTGGTCTACTACATCTCATTTGGGCGGAAGAAGTTCGAGGTACCCGCTGTTGATAACGTTGTGACTGGCGTCTCCGTTCACACGGAGGTTGTAGTTTAGAAATATGCGAGAAGGAATGGTTGGAATTTGAAAAGACGGAAATCGATGGAACCTTCGGTCTCTCATGATTGTGTATCAAATTAGTCCCTGAAACCTCCGTGAGATCTCTTCCGGATCTCCAAGTGACATCCCCTGATCATTCCCTCCAAAGAAGCCGACAGGAAAGTCTGAAGGCGCCGGGTGCCCAGAATTCGCTTGCCCGAAAGCGTCGAAGAGGTTCATGAGGTCATTGCCCATGTTGAACATGTCCGGCATAGAGCTTGCTGTCGGCGGTCCAGCCTCGTATGCATCCCACGTGGCTTCCGTCCTCCTTCCATCGCGCTCGCTTTGACCGACAGTCTGCTCCGATCCGTCGACATGGCCCTCATTCGGATCTGTCTCCCCATTGTCGACTAGCTGGGGTACGTCGCCCTTCTCAGGGTCACTGCGCAGGCCCAACGACTTGATGCTCGGCATGAGCCCTCGAATCGTCTTCCACAGCCTCCGACTGGCATGCCCGTGGCGAGAGAACCCCTTCACCAGCTGTACAGCTTTCAAAAACTTCTCCTTGCAAGGTTCAGTAAAGACACCCGGTGCGTGACACACAGCCAGGAGGATCACTGCCAAGGCGCTCATCAAGAAGTAGTTGAAAGCGTGCTGCTGCCGCGCATAGATGTCGCTCGTCTCGTTCAAGTGGACAAGTACTTGTATCGTGTCGAGAGCAATCTCGGTGACGAGCTTCGCGCTCTGCATGTCTGCTTTGATACTGGCGGTGCTCAGAACGTGGTGGCGGTGGATGAGCGTGCGCATGTGGTTCCCCCGCAGGTAGAGCAGAGTACGGAGGCGATGCACGCTGCGGGGCTGGATCCTGGGAGCAAGGCCTAGCCTTGGGTGCCGAAGCTGCAAATCTTCCGGTATCGAATTGAGCCAGTTCAGTGTCATGAAGTCGAGGAACGCCACCGTATCCTTGGGAATGAATTGTGATGGTGACTCGAAGGGCGGCAGCGCCTCCCAGACTTTCGAACACAGCCTGCCATAGGCAACCATGCACCTCAGGTAAGGATACTCGTCCCCCTTGATCAACCATGATCAGTACCTTTGTCTGCAAGAAAGATTGATCAAACAATGGAGGAGCTTACCGGCTCTGGTAACTCAGGATCGATGTCACGATCGATGAGCCCAAAAGACAGACTCGTGCCGAAGCTCCATCGGCGATCTAGTACGTAGACACACCAGAAGCATCGCAGAGCTAGGTCCCTCTCTTTGGGATCCTTGAAGTTCTCGAGGAGGATCGCGCGACGATGAAGACCGATTTCCAATACTTCCCGCCCAGAGATGCCGATCGATCTCCATGCCAGTAACTCCTCGCCGCAGTGGAACCAGTAGATACTCTGATGTTGAGTCAGCAAAGGATTGAAGGTCCCGGTGGCCACTTGAACCAGGTCGCAGGAGACGCAGGACTCACTAGCATAGTCATGATCTGGAGCTCTTTCAGGTCGATAAAGGCTTCGCCAGACACACGACACACGATCGGCTCCACCGCATCTACCAGCTTCGTACTTATGGCATTCTGGCCTTGAGCCTCCATCACTATAGAGGTAGCAATCGCTACTTTGACAATCTGGACATCCTTGAGCTCAATTTTTGGTCGATCCCCGGCAGAGATCGAGTCTGCGCCCGCCGTCGGGTTCTGCTGGGCTCTCACAAAGTCGAGGATATGCGGCAAGTTGGCAGAGACATCGTTCATATTGGTGAATGGGTACACAGACTCAACGTCATCCTGATAGACGTCAAGGAGCCGGAAAACCTCGTCAGCCTCGAACGTCAAAAGACAATCCAGATCCTTTCGCGATGCCGAATGCGAGGCTGGGTGGTCTGAGGTTTCGGAAACCGCCCTCGCAGAGGCGGCCGGCGATGCAGATCTGCTCGTTGGCGACGCATCGCGCGTCTGGATGTGCACGCGGGAGAGCGAGGATTCCGCGATGCGAAGGCTAAAGGCTGACCTGGTAGGGCCGACGAACTGCGGTTCTCTCGGTTCGCTTGGCCTCCGGTTGGATTCGCTCGTGTACAGAGGACTTGGATGTTGCGGACCGCCAAGGGCGGCGGGCGACCGGGTGTTGATCTGTGTGATCTTTCCGGTGAGCTCTCGGAGGGACGAGGTTAGGCTGGCGACCTGCTCTCGCAGAGTTGCCACCTCGTCGCTCAGGTTCTTGTATTGTGAGCTGTCACGACCATTAGTCTACTGGATCGGTGGTCGGAACATGGGAGTGCTTCATACGGGTTGATGGATTCATCTCTCTCGTTGGTGGCCTCGCGATCTCTCAACGGCGTCTGCTGCGGGCCAGGAATGAAGATACACTCGGCGCCATTGGAGAGACATCGCCGGCACACGGCCTGGTGATCTTCCTTAATACACTTGAGCTTCCGCTTCTTGCACTCGTTGCTTTTTCCCGGTCAAACTCTGTCAGCGACATGTCTTTCCGACGCGATGGTCACCTCACCGACGGTGTGGATTGGATGTCTTTCCTTACCAGGCGACGGGGGTGTACTTGGCCCTCTTGGACCGCTGCACCTCGGCAGATGCAGACGCAGGGGCAGGACGCTTCTGTACCGATGCGGATCCCGCGGCCGTCGACGGCGGCGTCACGGCCTCTGCTGCGTCCGCGTCCGGGCCCATGTTGCACTCTTCGCTTACAGTGTTGCACCTGGGGGCGCGGTCATAGGCCCGCGGAACAGATGAGGTCAGTCGGAATCGGTGGGTGTGTGCTGTGGTGATGATGTAAAGGAATGGTTCCGAGTCCTGTTGGGGAGGGGGGCGTTCCGGCAGTTATTAGTAAAGAACGCCCGCCCCTTATCAGCACAGTCCTTCCGGGCCACTACCTAGGTACCGTAATCAAGGTCCAGGCGCATCGGGAGGCGATAAACATCCCGTCTCCGACTTTCCACTCCCAGTCAATGGTACTTGTTTGCAATCGACGAGCGCGGAAAAATTTGACCATTCCATCAGATATGCAGGTATTTCTTCTAAGCTTTTATGCTCTTCTACTTGTCTTCTCCACCATATCCAGACGCTTCTTCTGGCAGTAATAGATAATTGCCAACCAAGGTTATACTGAGCGAGTCAGACACCATTGACTGAAGTGGGCTTTGTTCCACTGGCTGTGCTTCACATCCTCGAACCCGAAGACAATATAATGATATGTGACTTGCGGTCCACCTTCTTCTATACTTAAATCCTAGCGATTTGACAGTAGTATCGCCTTGGTCACAAATGCCTCAGCTGTTCGCTCTGGCCCTTGCTTGCACTAGGCAGGTTGTGAGCTTCCTCCCTCAAGCCCTTCCTCTTACTTCTCTTTGTGGTGTACTAGATAATTGAAATGTTCTTGCACGTACTATTGGATTGCCGTCTATGTGTAAAGGCATTGCGTCTGATGGAATACCCTACAGTCAACTTGCGGAACAAGAGCAGCTCACTATTTAGACCCCCTCTGAGCCAATTGCCCGAATATGATACGACGCCATGGTGATCATGGTCTTGTAGAACTTCTTTAACGCCGGGAAGACACCTTGATAAAATCGACAAAGAGCTTAGCTATTCATCCGTGCTGTCTCGCTTCTCTGAAATTCGAGTTGGGGAAGATCTCTTTCTCGACTCGACCCAAAACCAGCCTCCAGCGATGAGGAATGTCAGAAACATCAGGGGAACGGTAACTTGCATGAACCTAGTCAGAGCAAGCCAGGAAAAGCTTTCGCCATCTTGATATTTGACAATATCCGTGCTAAAGAATGTCTTTATAGTGTTACATTAGGTCAGCGATTTGAGGCACGACGTCAGACCTGGCCAGATGATGATCAGGTCCCAGAGGTCAACGAACTTACACTGGAGAAAGTTGCAGGAAGATATATCAAAGTAACGACGGTGATTATCCGCATTGCGATTGCCTCGGTAGCGCTTTGATTCGCTTGCTCGAACATTTTGATGTTCAATTCGTACGCAACAGCGGCAGTTTGTCCCTGAAGGAATTGGATGAACTGCAAAGTGAAGGCTGTTAGGATGACTCATAACAGTAAGTTGATCTCGTATTTGGATCACTTGCCGATGCTTTCTTGCGAGCTACGACTTTCGCCAGCCCTGTCGCCATCGAGGCAAGCATCTCGGCCTCATCAATGACCTCATCGACTTGGGATGCAAACTTATGAACCTCTTGTTGGCAGGCCCACCTCTCTCTATTGGGAAAGTTTTCATCGTGAACGAGCCCTTTATAGAATTCTCTAAACAGCTTCAAGACGTTGACGTTGAACGCCATTATTATTGCGGTTTCATTGGTTTTGTCCTCCCACTTTTGCACCTCCCCTAAAGTGGCCGAACTCTGGTTTTCCCGGTCAAAAGTGGCTTCGATGTAGGCAATTTCCAGGTTCTATACCTTAGAGTTAGATGTCTTTGCGTGACCCAGGTGAGGAATACTGTGTAGCGTTTTACCAGATCATTTATGATCTTGCCAAGATCAAGTACGGCACGCTTCCATTGAGACGTGACCCATGCTGCAAGTGCCAAGTGCGTCTCAAGGGAAGATCCTAAGGCGTGGTCGATGGTGTCAAACTTCGACTGGTGCGCGCCCCTTTCGCGAAACATCTCACCTACACGCTCCTTTATCTCAGCATGGGGGTCACCAATCATCCAGACTTGAACGCCGGTACCGACGTCGAAGCGATGATATACGGCATACTGCTCGATAGTCCAACTCATGGTATTATCCACTTCTCCCCACCTAGTTACCTTGAGGTTGTAGCATAGCTGGAAGGCTCTGCCACTCCGATCCATTTGTGGAATACACATTGCTGGCGTTGGGTTTTTGAGCACCTTCGCGCTTTTGAAGCCGCTGAATCGCAGACCATTATCCTCGGTGTCCGATGACCCATATAGACATATGAAGTCCAGGAACTGGGGCATGACTTGGTAGTGCGTTAGCAAACGCCGTAGCATTGTCCCTGATAGCTCTAGGGGCGCTACCGCGCTTTTTGTGATGAGGAATCTGAAGTAGACATCCATGATTAGTTATACGTGCCTACCTACCATAAGTAAAAAGGGGGACAAGGATAGGAGTATTGAAAGTTTGAAGGGGACCCACACGAAACGGCACTTTGCATCTTTTTGAACACGAATCGATACCTGGGCCAGAGGGCTATTTGAGCCATCAACCAGGTTTTGCATTGGGTCTTGCGGAACATGACCAAGAAGGTCTTTCAGCTGATCATCATTAAGAACGTTGACTTTGGTAACACTTCCGTCGGCTGAGATGTCGCGTATCGGTACTTTTATTTTGTCCTCGTCTTGCATGAACATGAGCCTTTCGCCATCTGACAGTCTCTCATGATAACCCTTCAAGATGGCATCTCCGTACGATTTGGCCTCGATATGGTTGCGGGGGAATGCAGTCAGTTCCAGATATGACTGCTCAAACTCATGGGGAAGCGCATTTGAGGTCGCCATTCTCCCGTAACATGAATTGTGCGTGATCAGATCCAAAGCGTGATGTTTTTACTCGAAAGGAGTACTCAGATGAGTGGGGTGCCTGTAGAACATCCCCGAATTGCACAGGAAACAATTGACTGAGAGAAAGGTTGAAAGTTCTGGCAAATATGAACCGAGCTAGTGACCTAATGAGTCTGTCCGGCGGGCAGTGCTTTTGAGGGACAGTTGCGTGGACCACCTACCCACGTGCATCTTTCGACCTCTGTTCCGGCCTGTTCCACAAGAAGCAGGCTCTCAGAAAATGCAGTCCTGCTCACACCGCCCACGCCGGGCTCACCAAGCGGAGTAAATCACGAAGCCACATACATGCACATATTCAATATTATGTACTGTATACCAATCAGAGCTTAGGATCTATGTGTGGTTCTGCATACCCTCACACCATCTCCTACACCCAGCGATATTTTGTTGTGCCCACTGGCATGCATTCTCTCTGAGAGCCCTCCCACCATTATCTGCTATGACTCTGGGTCAGGGGTGTACCTCTCTCTCGTCTCCTGTCTTGCTCGGTCGCACTCGTCCGTTTCTCTCAGTGCATCAATATCTTGTTTGTCCTTCTGCAAAATAGGATAATCAGTTGCATGCTCTGGATAGCTTATTCTAATTTCCGTTGGAGACTTAAAGACACCAGAATCTACACTTACCTCTGACAGCCTTTTGGGGATACGGAAAATGTATGAGTCCGAATGTAAAGGCTTTGGTTCTTCGTTAGCAAAACACATTTTTGATGTTCGATCGTGGAATCATCCAGCAAAACGAACCAATTCTTGACTTAACCTTGCTTCAGCTCCTTCTCCTCTGAAACGATTCATAAGCCATTGCCGTAGCTCGGACTCTCTCAGGTTGTACGCTGGGACCTGATCTACAACCCATTCCTTTGGTTGTTGTGATAGCGACTTGAATGATGACTGTCTTCTCTGGCTTTTGAAGGAAAATCTTTGTGTGAGTGTCTGCTTTGGGTCTTTTTCAGTTGACGCATCGTTTGGTCTCGGCTTCCAACTCAATTTTTTCGATAATGTAGTATACATGGACTAGGAGAAAGAGTGCTGCCCTCATCCGCAGATTGGAGGTAAATGTAAGATGCGAATCTAGTTCCCGAGGCTATCGCTTCCAGGCAGCAAAAGCAGGAACACTTTCAGAGCAGACGTAGAAGGGGAGGTGTCGGGCTTATGAGTGTGTAGTCGCCTGAGCCTATTGGTCCCTCGTTCGCCTTGCCAAGTGATAGGCCGCGGCTAACTCGTTAGGCATAGATTTGTATTGTGCCGTGGTATGACAGATTGTGTGACCTAGAACGCCACCTTAGCTCACGAGTAAGATCACTGTATTCTCTCGAGCCAGTAAGAAGCCAATTATGCTGTTTACGTAGGCATGCCATACCTTACTGCTTGCCATGCTTATAGGACGATGGTTGAGGCCAGGCTCTCAATGGGCTGTGCATCTCACACCAAAGGGGTAGCGAAATCCGGCATGCATATGTGGCTCGAGCTGAACGGCATTCGTGCGGCGTTGCCAAACTAATTGCTTGTTCAACATGTCTTTAAATAAATTGCCCTGCCTCCAGCATGCCCACGTACACAAAAAAGCCCCAACGTCTGACTTTGGCCACTTGATAGAGCCCACGTACGGATGGCTTGGATATGATGCTAGCTCAATAAGTCGCCACTAGGATCAAACCATTTGGATGAAATCTCACGACAGGATATATCCCGTACTCTGGTTCCATCTTATGGTTCAGACCTGACCACGACATCAACCCAGTCCGGGTGAAGCCAGGGGCAACGTCAGGCTGTCAACAAACATAGCCCTATGCCCTTGCTGTCCCTCTCTTATCAAGTATCTGCGTTAGAAACGTGAATTAAGTAAAGACTGGCGTGAAGGAGCCCAATGTCCTGGTTCCTCATGGTGGTCAGTCATCGCGATGCAAATCGCCTGTGCATTCCCTGATGAACGGTGAGGGAGCAGGAGAAGATAGATGCTTAGGTAAGGCAAAGAACTCGATCTAAGCGGGGGAGGGGCAGAGCGGGCCGAGCGGTGTGAGCAAATGCGCAGGACCCCTAAATTCTTATCGCTTTTTCTGCAATTGCTTATCAGAGATACGCTAGGCTTAGCTGAGCGCAGTTTCGTCAGGTCCCTGCTTGTTCCAGGAAATTTTCCAATCAACATCACTCCCTCTTCACCACGGCACCTACGAATCTTCGCCGTTTGAGGACAGAAATCAAAGAGCTCCCCAAAGTACGACATCATGGATCGCAGAGGAAGAGGCTCGAACCAGAAGCGCGGTCCCCGACGCGACCGCCGCGATGCGCCGTACAACGAGTCTCCCAGATCGGGCCAGCCCGCGTCGGCCCCGGTAGCATCAGCAACAGCAGCCGCCCAAGCAACGGCGCCGCCTCTCACCGAGCCTGTCCCCCAAGATACACCGAGATTCGCCGATATGGTCGGCGTTGACCAGTCTCTGGTTCAGGCCATCACCCAAGATCTCAAGTTCGACCACATGATGCCCGTTCAGGCCGCTACCCTGGGCGAGCTCCTCCCTCCGAAGCGCGGCGATTGCCTCGTCCAGGCGAAGACCGGCACGGGCAAGACGATCGCCTTCCTCCTCCCCGCCATTCAGACCCTCATCACGAACAACCGCGGCCGCGGCGCCGGAATCTCTCTGCTCGTCATCTCCCCGACCCGCGAGCTTGCCATGCAGATCGCCAAGGAGGCTGAGGCCCTCCTCCAGCGCCTCAAGCAGTACCGCGTATGCATCGCCATCGGTGGCACCAACAAGGACCGCGAGGAGAAGCAGATTCTCAACGGCTGTGATATCCTCATCGCCACCCCCGGTCGTCTCATCGATCACATGTCCAACGAGTACATCAAGGACGCCTTCCGCCACCTCGACACTCTCGTCCTCGACGAAGCCGACCGCCTCCTCGATATGGGTTTCATGCCCGCCCTCAAGGACATTGTCCGCGCTCTTCCCGATAAGACAAAGACCAACCGCCAGGGCATGCTCTTCTCCGCCACCATTGCCTCCCACGTCGAGCAGGTTGCTGGCCTCGTCCTCTCCCAGGGCTACAAGTTCATTTCGACCATCCCGGCTGGCGAGGCAAACACTCACGAGCGCGTGCCCCAGCACCTCATTAAAGTGCCCACCTTCGCTGCCGTTGCGCCGGCCATGGTCGGTGCTATCCGCGAGGAGGCTGCGCACGTCGGCCCCGAGACTTTCAAGGCCATCATCTTCGCCCCAACGGCCGCGCTTGCCGACTTCTACGGTGACGTCCTCAGCAACGTGCCCGGCATGCCGCCCACCGCCGTTCTGCACTCGCGTATCTCACAGAGCAAGCGTACAAAGACCACCAACGACTACCGCGACTCCAAGTCAGGCATTCTCGTTGCCACAGACGTTATTGCCCGCGGCATGGATTTCCCCGGAGTCACATCCGTGTTCCAAGTCGGCATTCCCGCCGATAAGGAGTCCTACATTCACCGTCTCGGCCGTACCGCCCGCGCGGGTGCAGAGGGCCGGGGCATCTTCATTGTTGCCGAGGTCGAGGGGTTCTTTCCGCAATGGACCCTCAAGGAGATCACTTTCCAACCCCGTCCCGGCGACCTCTCGTCCGCCGAGGCAGTGTACGATATTGCAGAGCAGCGCATCGACGAGGCGCAAAAGGCCAAGATCTACCAGGCTTGGCTTGGCTACTACAAGAACTGGATGAAGCCTCTCAAGTGGGACAAGGATCAGCTCGTTGCTGAGGGTAACACTTTTGCCCGTGACGCGCTTGCCTGCGCCGAGACGCCCGCGATCCAGAAGAGCACCATTGGCAAGATGGGTCTCCGTGGAACCAGAGGCCTGGTTGTTATTCCTGACGCGCCCAAGAGCCGTCACGGACACCGCGGCGGCGGGGGCGGTGGTGGCGAAGGCCGTCCCGCTGGCTCTGGCGGCCGTGGAGGTGGTGGTGGAGGCGGTGGTGGTGGCCGCGGCGGTGGAAGACGTGGTGGACGTTTCTAGATCATCACATGTTCACAGCCCTCTGTCTTGACTTCTCAGTCTTCTTTTTTCCGGGGAGGTATGTTCTGAGCTTGTTTACAGCAGCACTACATCACTTTTGATACCCTCATACAACTGTCTACGACGGGGAAATACGGGAATTCGTATACCTGGGATACACATACATTTGGAGGCATCGGTGGCCGGCGTTTTTCGGTAGATGGGTTTTCGGTATTAGAAAGTCAGGAGGAAAAGTTTACTAGGCATACATGACGCCTGGACACGACAAAAACATAGAGACAAAAGAAAGAAAGAGAGCGAGAGAGCCCCAGAGACGCTCTCGTCCTGCATCCAACACATTTGATCCTAACCATCGTTTCCTCAAGTGACCTCCTTACGTGACGACATCTTACACGAGTGACTGATCAGACTCTCATTTCGG